ACTGTACCCATTGGAAGATTGGGTAGTGTGGGCATATCTGTTGGTTGCAATCTGGAGAAAACATGGGGAGGGGAGGATAACTGAGTCTTTTGGCTTTCTCAGTCTTTGCTTCATCAGCTTGGTATGGAAGTGTTGCTCTTCACTGTGCCTTAGGTTGTGTACAGTGCATCAGAGACCAGTAAACACTATTACTTTCCAGATGTGTGCTGGTGCTGGGATGCCCACCTCAGGAGAATAGTAATTTCAAACCTTGTGTGTCCGTTGAGAGACTTACTAGTTCCTTCTCTTTGGTTGTTTGGAGGTATAAGCAAAATACTTCCCCTCCTGCTGTACACAGTATGTTTTCCTGTCCCTGCAGAAAGAGAGGTGGAAGGCTAAAGTGGTGAAGTGCCTTGCCCAGGTTTCACAAAATAACTGTTAACAGAGCTGTTGGCTGAATCAAAACTGCCCAGTCTTTGTGCTTTGGTCACAAAAACCTTTCCTATCCCAGGCAGACTGGAGTTCCCGTATTTTTTCTTGGTGTGAGCCATGCCTGTCCTGTTCAACCACCCTGTCACAGCCCACGAGCACGATCTTGGTGATGTCTCTGGCACCTCTAAAACAGTGAGGTCTGTGTGGGGATGGCTAGTATGTTGTATCAGGTGCGAGTGGGGAGAAAAGCCTCAGTTACTGACTAGACAGATTTTGGTAAACTGGCAGCTATCAGTATGGCATTTCTTACCATGCCCACAGACCATGGGGAGTCACTGAGTGTATCTGGCGGCTGGCTGTCTGTCCCTGTGGTTCCAGCCAGGGGTTTTTCCATGCTGTTGTGTGGTACATTAGTGAGGAGGAGACATCCAGCTACTGATGAAACACCATTGCAATTAGTATCTCCTCTTTTACAAGGGCAAGAGCAGTAAAGCCATACACCTGCTTCCACACTACCCTAATTATGCCCTTGTGCTTTGTAAACAAGGTGAGCATTATTCTTGGCTGGATTCAGCAGCCTTCTGGAAGCTGCTGCCTCCCTTTCCTTCTGCAGCATCACTCCGAGAAATGTTAAGAGACCCCCTGATATTTTGGGATCTCACATGACCAGATGATGTGTAAGAGCATCAGGAGCAGAGTGTGGAATGAGGGAATGGGTAATGGTTTTGAAAGCTTGATCCCAAACGCTGAGAGACAGGGAGTGTTCAGCAAAAGGGCTTCCCAGCAAGGGTGTTGGGGTCTGGTGATGATGCAGCCGGGTTTTGGCAGAGCTGTGCTGGAAAGATGCTTCCAGGCTCGGCCATGTGGGACAGCACCTGTGCCTGCAGAAATGGATGCTCATGGAAGGTACCACACCACCGACAAATGGGCTCTTGCTGGCGATGTGGAGACTTGTTGAGACACAGTCAGTGGTGGAGATCAGGCCAGCAAGCCCAGCAGGTCCGTGCTGGCGGTCAGGTAGAGCTGCGTGCAGCCACGGTCTGCATGGCACCTTTCACTCACGCTGCCGCTTCGGCGTGCCGGGCCCTTTGCACGGAGGCTGGCCCCCACTCACCGTGTGCAGCCAGGGGCTGAGCTGGGCAGCAGAGATGGATGGGGTTCGGGCCCTGGGCTTGCTCGCCCGGTCCCGCAGCGCTTCTGCCAGGCTGGGAGGAAAGGTGCTCCCTGCGATGCCTCCGCGGCTCCTGGTGCAGGAGGGTTTTTCCATCTGCTAACAATGGCTGATGACACAGCCTGACACTGGCTGGCGGGGAGATGTGGTGGGTGTGGAGACGCACAGATGAGCTCTGGCAGGGGAAACAGTGCATTTATTGTAATCTGAGGCTGCTCTGGCAGCATGTGCTGCAGAAGCCTGTCTATTAATCAGACTTGTTCCCTCGTAACTGCTTCATTCTCTTCCTTTCTTCTTCCCCTGCCTCTTAACATCTGGGTGCACTCCTGAACGATGCCAGAGCCTGTAGCTGTGGTGTTATTTGGGTTTTACTTTTTACTTTATTATGTTTTTTCCTTGTCATTGGTGGGTAGGTGCCGATGCAGCCCTTCTCTCTCCTGTGGGCTCGGGGGGTGTCTGGCAGCCAGGCTGGGGCGGGCGGTCCCCTGAATAAACGCCTTGTTCGTGCTCCAGCCATTATGGACCTTACGATTTTATTTGTGTACTAACAGAGTTTGCACTGAGCAGCCCTTCACATCTGCTGCAGAATGACCATTTGTGTTTGCAGGCAGGCATATTTTCTGAGTTCATATTAACAGTTTATTCAGTAATTGTCAAGCGCTGCAGTCTCCTATCCCCCATGCTGCCTGTGCCTGTCTCTCTTTGCTTTCTCTTGGCTGATGCACAGGGAGAGGCAGGCCAGCATCAGTATTTGCTGGCGCTCCTGCGCTGTAGTGAGAATGAACTCCAGGGCCTTTGGGAAAGCAAGTTGGGGAGGTTTAAAGGGAATAGACAAGACAAAAAAACCCAGAGGGTCAGTTGTGTTATTGGATCTGGGCAGGTAGACTCTTTTTTTTTCTCATCATGCAGGCTAGGTATAGCCAAGGAGCATCTGCCAGGGCATGGTTATGTGGGAAGAACTCTATGTACAGTTGACCGAAATATAAAATGAGAATCTTCTTCCCTGTGTTTCTAACTGTGGCCCTGATTCTCCCATAGCTGACACCTGATACTGTTGCTTGGTAGTTTCTATCTACATTTCTTGTAATCTTACTTAAATACTCATCATTTGCATCCACGGGAGCCACGGCTCAGCTGCTTGACCCCTGTGACTGACAGGGTATAAGCAACTGGCTGTCGTTACATTTTGCTCTTTTAGGGGTTTCTGAATTTGAAATTACAGTATTGTTAGTGAGACGACAATTGGATAGACACAAAAGGAAGGACAAGTGCCCTGTGCGGGGGCAGGAGGAAGATCAGTGGCTCATCAACAGCTTCTGTTTGTGCTTGGGGTCCTCAGCCCCAAAGCCAAGCATCGCCTGGCGTGTGCTCATGGGGAGAGATGCAGCACAGGCTGAGAGCTGGCCCGAGGACCTGGGACTCCTGGGTCAACACACACCCGGCTGTCCTCCTGCCTCGGCTGTAGCTGAGGTAAAGAGCTGCAAGTGAGAGGTGGTAATGGACCCACAAATCGCTAGTCCACGCCCATATCTTCGTGTGCTGTTTGCGATCTGTTAAAGCTAGCTGTTTAAAGGAGCTACGTGCAGAGGTCTGTGACCAGCAACATGCCCTTGCTTCCAGACACCCCCTTAGACAGCAAAGTTCTGCCAGATCTGTGCACTGATGTGTTAGCTTAGGTCAGGGGAGAAGGGGAGCAGACCCTGGGTCTGCTTGTTGGGGAGGACAGGGGGTGGGACAGGAACAGGGGAACAATTCGGCCGTGCGCTTTTCCTAGTGGGAGGCAAGGCTCCTGATCGGCAGTAAGCTGTGCTGAGCAGGGAAAGAAAATCCCTGTTGCTGGGACTCGGGTTGCTGGTCATCAGTACAGCCGTGGGATGGCCCTTGCACGGGGAAGCGAGGGGAGACCGTGGCTCTTCCCCCTGCACCAGCGCTGAGCAGCAGCCGGCATTGAGAGCGCCGCGCATTCTGATCCTTTCCCCACCCAGTTTCTTTGTCTCGACTGTGTGTGGATGAGATTGCTGTAAAAACGCACACCGATCTCAGAGCTTTGGCTGCTGCAAGCCGCAGGGACACGGGGGGATTCTCTCACATCCTTGTGTTGCCAGGGAGGAAGCTGCAAATTACCACCACTGTGGTGATACTTCCAGAAATCACCCCAGGGGCAACGGATGAAGAACAAACCCAGTTCCTTGTAGAAGAATAAATTGTGCAAGAGCTTCACAGGGTGAGCCTGGCGTGTCAGCCCTGCTGAAGGCTCCGGTCAGCCATGGTCCAGGCTGGGGCTGTGGAAGAGGGGTGTACTCACATGCCAAAACCTGGGCTGTGGGCACTGGGGTGGGGAGCAGAGAGGAAAGTAAGGGGAGCTGGAGAGCTGAAGGGTTGTTGGAGGCATTTTAAACAGTGAGGAAGACTGCATATTCTCTGGAACGGCACAATCAGCTTATGCCACCAAATACATGGTAGCTGTGTGTGAGATCGGGCTGTTTGCCCCTGTACTGCCTGCAGCTGGTGTTCGGACTTGTGCAGGTGGAGGTAGAAGAGCAGGACCTCACCCTTCCCAGTTCCTCAGGACAGGGACTGTTCCCCACAGGACAGTGTTCGTTCTCTCCCATCAGTGTATGCTGGGTTGCCCAGGTCCAAAAGCATGAATACGGGAAGAGCATAAGAGCAGTTCTGGTCCAGGTGCTCCTCCATTGTCAGGCTGTGCTCCTTCGGAGAAAGCTGCTGGCCACTTTTGTCAGTAAAAGAGAACAGAGGAGGTGGTAAATGATGAGACAGGAATGCAGTTCACTGGCTCCTGGGTTTTGCATAGACCTGTGATGTTGTGAAACACCTCAGGAGGACTACCCTGAGCATTGTAGGGGAGGGACAGATTCCAATAGCAGATGCATCATCTTCAGGGCTGCCTGTCCTGTTGGTGGTCTTTGCAAGGTGGTAGCAGATGTGAGAGATGTAAATGGTCTTCTCTAATGCAACGTATTTCACGTGGTATTTAGGTAAGATTTAAGGGTATGCCCTTAGTAACAAACTTGCTGTAAATACTGGTGTGTGGCTTGTGCTGCCTGCAGATTTATGTGCATAATGACCTGGTGTAGGAAGCTTTTGACTTCTGCCTGTATATTTTATGGAAGCATATTTCCTGTGTCCCCAGTGCCTCTCCTTTGTAGTCATTCTGCCTCAGTGGTGTTTCTGGTAGCACCTGTTCCATTCAGAAACAGCCCTACGAGTATGATTTTTTTCAGCCCTTGCTCTTGTCCTGTTGTTTCAAGTGTTGGTACAGATGTGACCTCTCTGCAGTATCGGCTGTTGGGGTGAGGTGTGTGATGCGGTTGCAGAGCACCCAGCAGGCTCTGTACTGGCCGCTGAGAAGCGCGTGTGTTGCCTGCTGCTGACAACTGCTGTCTTCTTCCCTTCACAGAGTGATCGTCTCCTTATTAAAGGAGGGAGAATAGTCAACGATGACCAGTCATTCTATGCTGACATTTACATGGAGGATGGCCTCATAAAGTAAGTATGGGACTTCTGTAGCGTATTGTCTCCATCTCCCCTTAAATCAGCTTCAGGTTGGATGGTTATTGGCTTTTTGTGCATGTAGTCTGTTCCCAACTTGCCAGCCAGTAAAACTTGATAGTCTGCTCCGGTTAGAGGCTCAGCTCTCTGCAGTGTGTGTGAACACATATGTGATTGCCTGACGTGTTTACATAGTAACTCCAGTCACTGAATTGCAGTTGGGCTGGTGACTTCGTGACACAGCGTCCATTGTACAGCAAAGCTGTATCTGATTGCACCAGCAACAAGATTTATCTTTGACTCCTGTTTTGCCCTGTGTTAACAATATTAGCATGAATGACCCTACACAAGATCCCATTTGTTAGCATTAACAAGGACAGTGCTGTGCTGCAGGTCATCTGCATCCTTGGGATTTTCAGGAATTGCGGGCAAACCTCTGGATCTCCCCAGCTTTTTTGTATGTGTTTCAGAGGTGCTGTAAAAACTCCATTGTTTAAAGGCTGCAGTTCAAACGTGGCAAATGCATCGCATTGGCACCAGCTCCAAGCTGGGTGAAGTGAAAGAACTGTGATAGTTCATAGCAGAGGAACTTGAAAAGGCATTGGTTGCTCTATGGTAAGAGGAAAATATCCATCTTTCCCAGGATGGTATATTTTAAAAATCCAGCAGCAGAGAAATACTTCAAGAAGTGGAACTGTATTTTTATGAGGCTGTTTTTAGCTCATGGAAAGAGCATTTGTGATTGGCTAGTACTTGTACCCAGGCAGGGATCAGAGCCAGCTTCAGGTCTTGCTATGGCGCAGACTTTCTGGGTATCCTTGGGCAAATCACTTAGCCTTGTCTGCAGCCTGGAGGTCACAGAATTTCATTGCCTTGGAAGTGAAATGCTCTTGCAAGTGAACTCTGGGAAGAATACAGTGAGCAGTTTAATTCCTTTGGTGATAGATTCATCTCAATAAAAATGGTGGAAAGAGCTGCTGGTTTATTGCTGCGAGGACACTGGAGCAAGCAGTTCTGTCCACAGAACTTTTGTTATTCTAAGGAAAAAAACCCTGCAAAGTCACTAAGATTGAATGAAGTGCAAAAATGGAATTTGCTCCGCATTTACTTCCCAGTGTGCCAAGGACATCAGAAGTTTTCCACTAAAACAAACTTGTCTTTTATCTTGATTTATCAGGGAAGACTGAGGAAGGCTTGGTGAAAATAGGATTTCTGAAAGAGGAGATTTGAAGGCTGAGTGCTGCATATGGACAGATAAAGGGATTGAGGGGGCGGGGGGCTGAGTGAAGGGAGTCCTAAGGTTCAGGTGACCTGGCCTGCAGGAGGGCTGGGTATAGCTAGGGAGGAGAATGTTGTGTGCTAGAACAGCCCAAACTCCAGAGGACTGAAGTGGTATTATAGGTTATGAGTAGATGCATACTGGAACTTTGTAGGTTTCCTGTTTTCAGAAGATATTTTTAGGTACTTGGGATTTTAGCTGCCTTCACTACAGCATGGCCCTGCTGATAGCAAAGATGTCCTTCAGGAGTGAAGGAGAGGTCCTGGGGAGGGGAGGACAGGACTGTCTGCGCTCCTGGGGAAGAGTGAGCCCGGTGCTTCCAGGCTGTGCCACGAGGCCGGCCGGGCTGCAGCCAGCCGTGCCATGCACTTTGTGAGCTCCTCCCCAGCTCCCTGGAGGGAGGCTTCCCTTTACCCCCAGGACTTTGTGCTGTGAGCAGCATTACAAGTCCCTGACGAACCCTGAGCTGGCCTAGCAGCTGTGGCATTACGCTGGGAAATCATCTTTCTCTGTAAGCCTCAGACTTCAGCCTTACTTAAGGTGGGCAGAAGGACGGGGGAGAGGAGAGATTAGGGGTGCAGCTTACTGGAAGCAGGGCTGATGTCGGGTTTTGTGAGCGTGCACCCTCGGTGAACAGGTAGGACTGCTACGCTGGAAACGCTTGCAGGAGCCTGACTTGCGAGTCTGGGTGGTATGAAGTGTCCTAGGCATCTTCTCAGCATACACTGCAGAGATTTGCGTGCCCATCAGACCATACTCCCCAGCTACCCCAACCCAGTGCCTGCCCCAGACAGCAGATGCCATCATAGACACCACTAGAGCAATCGGACAGATGGCAGCCACCCCTGGACCATGCAAATCATAGGTTTACGTGAGCTGGACAATCCTGCATTTTGCTGCAGTGAGGTGGTTTCACTCTGCTGGCTCCTGCAAGCCCAGGTGTGGGAGTGGGAAGCAGTGGGGCATTTCTGCTGTCAGCAGAGTTGACCTGGTTGCTCCCTAGCCGAACTGTTCATTGATTATGTTGTGGCTGGTTTTCATTTGTGGGTGGCTCACCATCTTGGTATGATCTCATCAGGCAGATTGGAGACAATCTGATTGTCCCTGGAGGGGTCAAAACCATAGAAGCCAATGGGAAGATGGTGATCCCTGGAGGAATTGATGTCCACACTCGCCTGCAGATGCCATACAAGGGGATGACAGCTGTGGATGATTTCTTCCAAGGAACGAAAGCGGCCCTGGCTGGTGGCACCACCATGATCAGTGAGTGCAGCAGGCAGGTCCTGTACATGACAGCACCCCGCACTCTTGGAACATTGCCCAGTTATTTCTTTTTGTCTTTGCTTTTCTCAGTCTTCTATGTTTTAAAGGTCCATGACGGTGTGCTCTTCTTTCCAGTGATCTCTGTTAATGCAGTCTGGAGAGTGAGGATTGGGATGAATCTTTGGGATCCTTAATAACAATGAGGTGGTTGGACAGGAGATTTGCACAGGACCCCTTGCAGAGCCCGTGTTCTGCAGTTCTTCATTGTCTGCAGCCACTGGTGCCCCTGGGACCCTCAAAAAGGAACAATGGCATAACTTTTTTTCCCTGTTAGATAAAAATAGGGCAGCATGATGCTCAGATGATTCTGAGCAGAGGAACAGAGTAATGTCCTGGCATCCTGCACTGCTCGGAAATAAACAGTGCTAACAAAAATGGAAAGGGAGTTCGGAGGTCCTTCCCTGGGGAAGGCCACGGTTGTGCACTGGTTTGAGGTCCAGGTTTCGCTGCTGTGCAGTGGTCACAGCTGAGTGTACTGCAGGGTTTCTTGGGATGCAGGAGCAACTGTTGATCCTTCCAGTAAAGGGCTGGGTTTCTTGCCCTCCCCCAACCAGTTCTCCTTGTCCCGTGGGCCAAAAAAATAAATTGTGTGAAATGCGCTGTGGTGGGGCATGAGGATTACATGGTGGGCAATAAAAGGTGCATTAGTATTGCAGCGTGGGAGGAGGCTATGTGTTAATGGGGTGGAAGGGGGGTGAGGAGGCACAAGGCCCTTCAGCTTTCAGCTGATTTCTCAGCAGCAGCCTGTAAAAGCCCCTGGTCCCGTGCCAAAGGCCATTAAGCAAAGGCTCTGTGTGCTTCCCTGACAATAAATGCACTTGGAGGAGCCCAGGCTCATCCTGGAGGTGATGGGAACCTCTTCAGAGCTGCCCTGAAGCTGCCGAGGAGAGGAGCCTGGGATCGTGGAGATGCCCAGCAGTGTGCAGGGCCGCGGTGGGGTGGCCCGGGCAGGGACCCTTGCCCACCCCTCACCCCCGCTGTGCCTCTGCAGTGGACCACGTGGTGCCGGACCCCGAGTCCAGCCTGGTGGAGGCGTTGGAGCGGTGGCGGGAGTGGGCTGACGGGAAGGCCTGCTGCGACTACGCACTGCACGTGGACATCCCCCGCTGGAGCGACCGCGTCCG